TATCCTCTTTACGGACGTTGAAAGGAGAATGCTTGCGAGATCCAACAGGTACTACGAAAAATGAGCGCGAAAAAACAAGAGTAAAAAATTTTTGATGCGTTGAAAGAGCCTATAAATTTAATATGATCGAATTAGACAAGGCTTCTATGAACTACATACTAAAATAACAAAGTAACGATGATAGGAACAATAGACCAATACTTTTGCTTTATCTCCTATGAAGAAAATGTATTTCGTGAAAGTGTTGCCATAGCAAATGATAAAGTGTGGTGCGTTTTACTTCTAACATTCTCGAAATCAGAATTATCAAAAACTAAGAGCTTACGCACTGTTGGCTGCAGTCTATTTACTGATTTTTGAACTGGACCCTTGTGGTGAATGCAACCATGTTTCAGTTCTGACGGCTGAAAAAATGAATTACAACGTTTGCAGAGCAGAGGATTTGCTGCATTCCAAAGGCACCAAAAGTTTGTCTCCCAAGATTTCGTATGAGAAAATAATTCCTCCAAAAATTCATCTTGGTTTCGCCTAAATTGGAAATCTGCAGCTTACAACAAGAGAACCATCGTGAATAAAACATTCTTATAAGTAAACGAATATTTGAAAGAAAAATACATTTAGAACTGAGCTCACTTAGTAGTAGATACCCGATACTTGTGCATTTTTCATATAGAATTAGCAGATGCTGTTTACAGCATGAAAAACCAAGCGTCACCAGTTATGAAACATAGCAGACGTACAGATAGGTTATCCTAGGTTCTGGCGGATACGAACTGTAACAAACAAGGGAGAAATTAGAACATGGAACGTGAGCTGGAATCCACTTCCCATTGAGATCCAGTATTCTTCGATTTTGTTGGCAATGGATCTTTTTCGCCGAATCCCACGTTAAGTAACGCAAACAAGCTCTACAACTTCAGAATGAATAATAACTATATCATATGCGCAAACCCACCGAAATATAACAGGCTTATAAGGTGACAACTTAGTATTCACCACAATATCCGCAAGAATATGCTTTGCTTTGAAAAAAAATGCTTTACTAGTTATGTACTTCAGCGTAAATTATTCATATACTTTTTGAAAGGAAGAAAGTCATCGGTTAAGGAACTCAATTTGCCAGGCATAAAGTGCCGAGCAATTCTACAAACAAATACACAGTCAAATAACCAACATACTTCTCCCAAGTGGGCGGCCGCACCATATCGATGTCGGCAATTAAGCTCGGAATCTCCGTGACTCGGTCGCATAAAAAGGCAATGCAGCTAGCCACTAACTCCGGCATTTGAAGAAATTCAGCCGAAACAAGGACAGGCAATATGTTTGAAACATCAAGTTTGCGATCATTTTTGGATTTCATGTAGGTAAGAAGCCACTTAAATGTTTGAATATCGGAACAGATGGTAATATAGTAGTAGTTGCTTTGCTGGGTTTCGTGAAAATATTGTTGGAAAAATAACATCTCCTTCTCCAACAGTGCTTTGCTGCACGTAAAATAAAATACTTCTGAGAAAAATAACCATAGAAAAACTCACCTCCATTCGCAGCATCATGGACGTGAATACTAATTTCAGAGTCTGGGTTAATTTCGATAGCCAAGCTCATTTCAGCCCGCATGTAGTAGTAGCTAAAAGACCAAATACTGTGAACCAGTAGAAGCAAAAGCACCTACACGAACACCAAAATTGGCGCAAGAGAAATTTTGCACAAGCTGACAATCCATGATGTAAGCCAAGACAGATTATATTTGTAAAATATCAGTTAATGCAAAAGAGTAGAAACAAGAAACAAGAAAATAAAGTTTACACTAACTAAACCACATGGTTTTGTTTAAAAAAATATTTTCAATCGAAAAAGCTTTGATTCTAGGCACAAATAAATACTTTGCATTTTTAGTCGCCTATTAATCGAAGGGGACAAGGTGGAACAAACACATGGAACGTCCCGATGCAGCATATTTCACTGAGAATTCCAAAAGCTTACAAGATCGGCGGAAGCACAAAAGGAACTTG